TCCTGGAGCCCCTTATTCTGTGAACACACCACCATCAAGAGAAAGACTCTGGAAGTCAAACTCAAACCAATGAGCACAGGGATAATGCCCCTCTCCTGGGCTTCATTGGCTAAACCCAGCCCTCCTTAGCGCTTGGCCCTTTGGGTAATGTAGCAATCTAGCCTCACATGGGGCACTGGGATCCCTGCCCATTTTGAATATTGTTCCGGGGCGTTCCAGTGATACTGGGAAGGGACAACTTTAGGTTTTAGGGGCTGGTCACAGGTTTCTGGGGAGTGTTGTCCAGAACTGTTGTTTGGAAACATTATTTCAGATTCTGTGATGCTTACAATGCTCCCTCAGGTGAAAAGTGTTATTTCAATTATTCCTGAAGACTACAAAAGTATAGTAATTGACTTTACAGAGAGGAGAGAATGGCTGCCTCCTACATGACCCCCTAATGGGATGCAACTCTAGATTTACCACCTGGATTTCTAATTTGGATGCAGGTGCCCTCAAATAAGAACTGAACCAGCAATCTTTCTGTGCATGGGACTCCACTCTACAAACAGCCAGTCCAGCGTGGATTTTTTTAACATCAAAATGTGAAATAGCCGAGACCGGTTTGGCTCAATGGATAGAGCGTCGGCCTGCGGACTGAAAGGTCCTGGGTTCGATTCCGGTTAAGGGCATGTACCTTGGTTGCAGGCACATCCCCAGTAGGGGGTGTGCAAGAGGCAGCTGATCGATGATTCTTTCTCATCGATGTTTCTAACTCTGTATCCCTCTCTGTAAAAAATCAATAAAGTATATTTTTTAAAAATGTGAAATTATTAAGATAAAAAGTAGGCTATCAGAGAACATACATAATTCTATTCTATTTGTTTAAAAAGAACATTTGAGCCGGGACCGGTTTGGCTCAATGGATAGAACATCGGCCTGCGAATTGAAGGGTCCCGGGTTTGATTCTAGGCAAGGGCATGTGCCTTGGTTGCTGGCACATCCCCAGTGGGGGTGTGCAGTGGGCAGCTGATCGATGATTCTCTCCCATTGATGTTTCTAACTCCCTATCCCTTTCTCTTCCTCTCTGTGAAAAATCAATAAAATATATTTTTTAAAAATGTTTAAAAAGAACATTTGAAAGAATACATAGGATAACACAAGGACATTTCCTACATTGTCTGCATGTCTGTGCTCAGTACACATTGTGACGGTAAGGAGCTAACACTGAGTGTTCACTGCAGGTGCCAGGCCCTGGATTCATGCTTTACATACATTATGTCATTTAATCCTCTCTTCAACCTGAGATGGTTCAAACATCTATTTAATGGGGAAGAAATCCCGGCTGAGAGAGTCAATATAAATTGACTGATTGTAGAGTTAATAAAGGCAGAGCTTGAGGGGCATTATTAAAATATGTACACGGGTAATAATTTAATAATTAAGAAAAAGGCAGAGCTTGAAATCAAACCCAGGTGTCTCTAACAACAGAACTCTGGCATCTGATGTTAGGCTCTGCTTCCTCCTAGAGGGTAGAATAGGGGATGGGTTCCCATTAGGACAGGCTAGATGTTATTGAGGGTTATGAGCAGCCCCAAAGCTTTAGTGGCTTAGAGGAAAGAGTTATCTTTCTTGTTCATAGCACACGAACAGCCTAGTTCTCCTGGAATCAGGATAAAGGAGCAACCAACATGTAGCTTCCTGCGAGGTGTTATCAGAGAGGATGGCCATCTCACTGATTCCAGACTGTCCTGTTAGAGGTAACAGGCTGGACTCCCACCTCATTTCCTTGGTTAAAGCATATCACTGGAGGCAGCCAACATCAGGGTCAGTAGCAGAACTTGACCTACTTGATGGGCCCCAGTAAGACGACCCCATGGTGCCAGCTTCCCTTGGGGCTGCTCAGGGACAAAGGTGGGGATTGGTAGGAAATGACAGTAGAAATCAGTCAGGATGGTTTGCTTTCTCCTCCTCCACCGATATTTTGTCCATGAGCTGCCCAAAACCCAATGTTCATCGGAGTTAACTTCAGAAAAAGTTTGGTCAGATGTCATTGGCAGAAAACTCAAAACCCACTTCTGAGGGTAAATCTTGGTACTAGTAAATCCTACTGCCTTGGCTCCCATACTGTGATGGGCGTGAAGACCACACATTCAAGAGTTGACTCGGAAGGTTACTGGACCACAAGCATTCCAGTGCCCATATTCTCTTATATTCACCTCAGTCACCGCCCTGCCTCCAAGCCTCTGTGTCATGTGCATTGCCCAGGTGAGTGCTCCATCAGGTGGGGCTGATTGGAAAAACGCTAACATTAACTTCAATGGTGATCCTGTGGTTTCCATTCACCCTGTGTAGGAACCAGTGCTAACTGTGGCCCCTTCATGTTTTCTTCATCCCCACTGCAGGCAGCACTGAGCTCATTCTGCCTCCTGTCCCACGTGTTACCAGGTGAACATGCACACTCAGTAGATGACCAGAGATTGGAGGTCCAGGAGTGATGCTCAGAGAAGCCCAGGCACCTTCCTCTATTAGGTATCAGCTGGAATTTTCTATTGGTATCGTGGTGAGCTGCTCTCCAGGGATTAGAAACCAAAGGACCCCCAGCCCTCTTCAGGGGTATCCTTCTCATCACCCCCCGGGAGACTGCCTATGCAGCTGCCTGTTGCCGGTGTGTGCAGCCACAGACTCACGTGGAAACATACAAACAACAGAAGCAGAGACACACTCAGGTACAGAGCACTCAGAGCCTATGGTGGGAACTCATGCGCAGAGCTTATGGCCAGGCTCACAACACCTTGATGGGAACATACAACACAAGAGATGAGAAAACACAGGGTCACTCAGCATGTACCACAGGGCGCATCCACATGCAATAGACACACACATGCACACACCTGGGAAGACTTATACGGACAATAGACACACACATGCACACACCTGGGAAGACTTATACGAACACAGCACACAAGACACAAAGAGGACACAAACAGACACAGACACAAGGAGGAAAACTCAAAGGGAAAGCCAATTCACACATATCATGAGCAGGCACTCATGCAAAGAAACCCCTCCAAATGCTGAGTCATACTAATTCAGTTTTGAAGGACTTAGTAAGGATTGAGGTGCTGCCCTGCCATGTGGCTCAGTTGCTCAGAGCTTTCTTTTATACGCCCATTCAAATAAAAGTACTAGTTTGATTACTGGTGAGGGCACTTACCTACATTGCATATTCCATCCCTGGCCGGGTCATTTATGGGAGGCAACCAATCCTGGTTTCTTTTGTTCTGTTGCTCCCTTCCTCCCTCAATCAATGAACCCATCCTCCGGTGGGAATTTAAAGAGGGGGGGAGGGGGAGGATAAAAGATTTAAGGTTTTGAGTTTTCAAGAACATAGTGCTGACTCTAGAGCCCTCTCTAGAACAGTTATCAGAATACTCTGAACTCAGAAGTCTGTCTTCTTCCCCATAAGAGACTAAGAGAATCAGTAGAAGGGATCTCAGAAAACCCCAAACTCTCAGTGTCCTAGTCAGGATCCCACTTTGCATTTATTTAAGCACTAAAATCTGATGATTTCTAAATAAAGTCATCTGTTTCTTTTTTGCACGTTGAGTGATCACATCTTTGAGTGATAAACATAACTTTCCCATGGCAGCAGCTGTTGTTGAGGGATTCCAATGTTGCTTGGGATACTGGAGTGGACACAGCACATGGTGAACTAGGAACTGTGCATTCCCAAGAGAAACCACATTTCTAATGTCTAAAATCATGGCCAAGGAAGCAGGGAGCATGAGTCAGCCACCTTACGGTCCTTCCTAAAGCAGAGACTCCCTTCGAACCCCCGAGGAGACTGATGTAGGATTTGTAAGGATGGTTTTTGGAGACAGATGTATTGCAAACGTCTAAGGCTCCTCATCTCAACTATTTAATCTATTGCATATTCTGCCCTGGTAATGTCATCTTTGGCAAGATTTTTAAAAAATATTTTTTATTCATTTCATACAAGGAGGGAGATAGCAAAATCAATGAGAATCATTGACTGACTGTTTCCTGTATACCCTCTATGGAAGATTGAGCCAAAAATCCAGGTATGTGCTCTTGACTGGAATCAAACCCAGGACCCTTCAGTCTCCAGCCTGACAGATATATCCACTGAGCCATAACAGCTAGTGCTGGCAGATTTTTGAAGTTCTGTGGAAGTTTACCATCATTAACGGCCTCTTGTAAATTTCTGTATTTCTCATTTTCCTTGTGGTGAGTATACTAAAGTACCTTACAGATACGCTTATTTGCATTCAGCACTGTCACTTTCCTGCTGAACAGTGATTTTGCTGAAGGTTCCCCACATCAGCTCTTGCAAAGGCATCTGGGACTCAAAGCAAACCAGGAGGCCTCGTGAGGAAGGCCAAGTCCTTCACAGAGCCCACTGCCCAGCCATGACCCCACTTTCTGATCCTGGTTGTGCTTTCAAAGTAACCAAAGGAGTAGAACCAACAAATTAAAGGTACAAAAGCAAAATCACAATTACAAAAACATTATACCAGAGCAGTATAAAGCAATCAGCTTAGAACAATTCATCACAGCAACAGGTGAGAACCACAATGTCCCTTAAAGAGGTAGCACTTCCTCATGATTTGGGCAAATCCTGGGTCAGGTCCATTTCCTAGTCAGAGAATAAGGAATGAGATCCTGCGAAGAGCTCAGAGTATTCATAATTCACTTAAGCAGAAGGGAGAACACAGAATTCCTTTTCCCTGAGCACGCAGGGGTGGTGACTGATACACACTGTTCAGCTGAGCCAGGTGGTAGAGGTTACTTCAGCCACAAATAATCGCAGTGACACCAATGACATGGAGTTCTCAGCAAGTCAGCAAGTGCAATGCAGCTCCTTTCAAGCCTCACTTGTACCTTGTACTTAGGAGGAATTTCGCATAGTGTATGTTCACATACAAGGGATTTATACTCAGGTAAGTGGATTTAAGTCTCCTTCAGTGTTGCAGAAAGATAAAACATCCCCTGCACAGTTAAGGCTTTTCGTCAGTGTGAACTCTCCTATGTCTGACAAGGCTAAGTTTGCAGCTAAAACATTTCCCACATTTACTACATGCATATGGCTTTTCTCCCGTGTGAACTCTGAGATGTTGAGTGAGGGTAGACTTTTGCCTAAAGAACTTCCCACAATCACTACATTCAAAAGGTTTCTCGCCAGTGTGAATTTTCTTATGTTCAGAGAGGTGACAGCTTTTCCTGAACGACTTCCCACAATCAGTACACTCATATGGTTTTTCTCCAGTGTGAACTCTCTTGTGGTCAAGGAGGTTAATACTGTAGCTAAAAGACTTCCCACCATCAATACACTCATAGGGTTTTGCTTCACTGTGAACTCTCTTGTGGATAATGTGGTGATTATTGGTCCTAAATGTTTTCCCACATTCACTACACTCATAAGGTTTTTCACCTGTGTGAAATCTGTGGTGCAGAATAAGTGAATTCCTTTGCTGGAATGACTTTCCACAATCACTACACTCATACGGCTTTTCTCCAGTATGAACTCTGTAGTGTTTAGTGAGGTTCCCTTTTAGTCTAAACAACTTCCCACAATCACTACATTCAAAAGGTTTTTCTCCCGTGTGAACTCTCTTATGGTTAAGGAGAGAATTACTGATCCTAAAAGATTTCCCACAATTAGTACACGCATAGGGTTTTTCTCCAGTGTGAACCCTCTTATGGTTAAGGAGGTTAATATTGCTGCTAAAACATTTTCCACAATCAGTACACTCATAGGGTTTTTCTCCAGTGTGAACACGGTGGTGTTCAGTGAGTTGAGAGCTTTGCCTGAAGGATTTTCCACAATCACAACACTGATATGGCTTTTCTCCAGTGTGAACTCTCTTGTGGTTAAGGAGGTTGCTATTGTTCCTAAAAGATTTTCCACAATCAGTACACTCATAGGGTTTTTCTCCAGTGTGAACACGGTGGTGTACAGTCAGTTGAGACCTTTGCCTGAAGGACTTTCCACAATCACAACACTGATATGGCTTTTCTCCAGTGTGAACTTTCTTATGGTTAAGGAGCACATTATTGTTCCTAAAAGATTTCCCACAATCAGTACACTCGTAGGGCTTTTCTCCAGTGTGAACACGGTAGTGTTCAGTGAGGTGAGACCTTTGCTTGTAGGACTTCCCACAAACAGTACACTCATAGGGCTTTTCTCTAGTGTGAATTCTTCCAGATTGAATGAGGTTAAAGCTTCCTGTAAAATCTTGCCCACATTTGTTACTTCCATAGTTCACTTCTCCAGAGCAGGCACCCTGATACTGAACAACTTTATGGTTGTGGCTACCACATTTTTCACAGTTACGAGTCTGCTGAAGACTTTTTCCACCAAGATATTCCTGTGAAATCTCACTGCCACTGTGTGGCTCCTCAGTGATGAGAGGGGCCTGGTGCCGGAGAAGGTCTGAGATGGGTGGGAAGTCTTCCCCAAACTGCCCACTGGTTGAAGGCAGCCCTGATAAGTAGAAGCTGAAGTTGGTCACAAACGAGGCCCCGTCCACAGCTGTTTTCCAGGGCTTCTCTCCACTGGCTTCGCTCTGTTGCTGGGCAGGGTTTTCACTGAAAGAGAAGTCTCTCACACGTGCATCGCGGAAGAAGCCTTTTTGCTCAAAGTCTGCTGCTTGTGACTCAGTCAGGTGCAGAATATACTTTAATACTGACACACACCGCTTACACAGATGGGTCCTCTGGGTTGCTGGAGCTCTCGTAGAAGCCCTGACCAGTGATTCTTCTTGAATAGATACACTCTGCTCAGGACAGACCTCCTCATCATCCGTTTTATGCCAGCAACCTGAAATCAGAGAAAAAGGGGGGAACTCATTGTTGATTGTTGTGAAGGGGAAGTCCCATTGCTATAGCATTTTGCACATAATACATGGGTTCTATGCAATTGTCTGAAAATAAGAGATGTGCAGAAAGGATTAATTAGAAGCTGCTGTGAAGGTCTGGGCCTCGGAAGGTTACAAAACAGGGAAGATCTCACCAGAAACATGACACACACAGCAAAGACCATGAAAGAGAAAATGCACCTCTAGCTCAGTCTTCTGCTAACAGTGCTCAGCAGGGCTGGAATGCTGTAGACAGGGGAAAGCTGTGTAGGTTGGTTATGTCTTATTCCAAGTAAAATTCAATAAATGAGTAGCAGGGGTTCGAGGACTACTTAATTATGTATGTGCACCTCATAACACATGTGCAGGTCCATGTAGGAGAATACTGCAAAGGGAGCAGTATAGAGGGACCGTTGATGCAAAAAGGTGACAAAAGTGAAGGTAGCCTAATGCCAAAAAGTGACAGATGAAATACAAGTCAGCAAATGTCAAGTATGGGAAAGAGAAGATAGAAATGTCTTCATGGGAAATCTTCAGCAGGAAAATGTCACTGGCTACACCTGCCCCTAAACATTGTTGGAAATTAGCTGGTTCCTGGTACCATCTAACCATCACCATTATGTCATACCTTCTGCCAGGTGTCACTCAGCATGGCCAGCCCTCCTCTGAGAACATCTTACATGTTCACCCTATGAGCAAACCAGGTTTCTCCCTGAATCTTCTACTCTACCGATGCATAAACCCTAAATATTCCAAGTATTAATGAAAGACAATGGAGGAGAGCAGCCAGCTCTGGACCAGAGCAATTTGGCCTGCAATAGTCCTCAGCTAAGGTAATATTACAAACAAGAACTGAAGAAGGGTCTTACAAGCATAGCCCACAATTTATGTAAGAGAAGAACATAACCTGACACAGGCCGTCATAAAGCACCTTTCCCTGGAGGAAGAGGGAAGAAGGAAATAAATGTGGGTATTGTCACCCACCAGGGGGAGGAAGAGGAAGATGGGACCCATTAAGTTGCCAGTAAAACTCCCAGTTCCCAGACACTTTCTGCACTTTTTGAGCCAATGGGTGTTATGGATCTTTCTAGAGTCCATTGGTCAGGGCTCTCCACACAGCTCAGCTCCGGCAGCCACAGCACATTTGACAAAACAGGGGCAGATATCAGCAGAACACTCACCTCAGAACACAGGGACAATGTGAAGCTCTTACCTGCAGATGAGACCAGTGCAAACACTTCCAGCATCACCTCGCAGTACAGAAGTCTCTGAGCCTCATCCAGGAGCCCCCACTCCTCCTGGGAGAAGGCGATGGCCACGTCCTCAAAGTCCATATCCTGTTGTAATGGGGATAGTTCAGTCATTGATCAGCTTCTCTCCTAGGCTTTTCTTTCGTCATACTTCCCACTCTTCATATCCATCTGCTCCCTCCACTCCCCACATCATAGAAAAAAGCAGACCTTGCTTCCACCAGAGTCACTCTCTGCTTATATTCCTATTGATACTGTGTCTTCCCACAGAAATAAAGAAGATGCCCAGATTGATTATACTTGACCGCAGGGCCTCATATTTAGGCTTAACACAAGGGGTGTCACTAACATAGGATACGGATAAATGTTGGTCATGAGGAGAGATGTGAGTGATTTGACACTGGTCTTGTGGGGCAACATTCTTGTTGTCCAACACATTCTCCCTCCACAACACCAAAAACATGGCATCACTCATCATACTTCTGATTCCAATCCTAGGGTCCTGAGGGCAACACTCTGTGCTACCTGTTCCACATAATTCTTTGTAACCCACTTCTCTCACAGTTTCATTCCCAGAGTCACAGCTTCAAACACAACACATATACGCCATGAAGAAGTGGATGGGATGTTTTCTAATCACCCTCTTTTCAACATTCTCACTCACCTCCTCTGTAATGTATTTCTCTCTTACCCTTCTCACTTCCCCAAGCCAGTAGAGATTTTCCTTTTTTTTTTTAGCTGTTCAACAAGTCTTTATTAACAAAGTCAAACGAACAGAAAATGCAGTGTCTGAAAGCTGTGATACAGGTGTATGTGTGTGTGTGTGTGTGTGTGTGTGTGAATGCAGAAAAGGCCTTGTCTCTAGGCCAAGGATGATCCCTTGGATCTAGGCTCACATCTTCAGATCTTCTCATCAGGGTGGGCCGTAGGCTGAGGTCAGCCTCTCCACCACACTCCTGAGGGAAGAATGGTGGTCTTTCTGGATAGAAGGGGCTGGGACCTCAGCATTCTCCATTTTTCTGACTCCCCAACTGGCTTGGTTGCTGAGAGAGTGGGGGACAGGCCATGAGGAGACTTGCATAGGAGGGGAATAGAATAGGGATAAGGTATATGGTGAGGACAGGGAGATCTAGGGAAAGCTTATCATAGCTGCATGTGAAGGGGATCTCCAAAGGCAACTCCTCTTCTTCCTCATCCTTTCCCCAACTGCGGCTGGCTTGAGAGGTAAAATCCATCCCTAACTCCAGAATTCTGACTAGGTATAGGGAAGTTCTAGAAAGGCCCGAGTTAATGAGTCAAGCTTGTGTTATACTGGAACATGACTGGACCCCCTGGTATACATGGGGACTCATGATCTGAATGTGTGTCCCATATGTTCCCATAAGTCTCTGTGTTTGGTGGTATAAGCATGTATGTCCCTACTTGTATACCAGAAAGTCAGTATCCACATATGTTGTACATCCATTTTTTCACATGAGCTCCAGCAAGTGGATGTGTGCGGGCCTGTCCGCTCTTGTCTACCCACAGGTCCTCCTTCAGGCCTGGCTTCTCAGGGGTCCCAGCCGAAGAGGTAGAAAGTGAGCTCAAGTCGGAGTCCCCAGGCATAGGCGCGAAGAGCGTAGAAGAGGGTGAGGAAGTCCTGGGTGCTGAAGATCGTGTCACCCAGCACAAAGGTCAAGGTAAATGGGATGACTCCATGGCCATACTCCACCATCCAAGTGTTTGGCCCCCACTCCACAGCTACTGCCTCACCAGGCCTGTGCACCACTGTCTCCCTGGTAGAAGACCTCACTTTTGGTAGTGCCCTCTCTGCACTGGTGGAAGGTGCCAGGGATTATGGTATTCTAGATCTCAGCCCAACAGCGTCCAGAGTGGCCACTAAAGTCAAGGGCGGTGCTGAATAGGAGCACTGGGACAGCGAGGCATGCAGAAGGCACAGGGCGCCCATTCAGCCGCCATCATTCACAAATACCCACTGGAGCTGGGCCTGAGGCTATGCTTCCCACTGTCTCGAGCCAGCGGCCAGCCAGCACCAGTAAAGTCTTTCAGGCCCAGGACACTGACAAATGCTATCCCATTCCTATGGATCACTGTATCAGCCCAACAACAGGCAGGTGTGCACCTGTATGACACCTAAATTCTGGACCTGGCATGGAGCGCCACAACACACATCTTTTCAGAAACTACCCTAAAATTCTCCATGTTTTATCATCCATTTATTACGAAAAATGGACTCAACCCCAGTCCCTCTATGACAACATCAGGGATCTGTGGCCATGAATTCACACTCCTTCTTCAAAAGCACATCACTCCTTCTCCCACACCCTCCCACATACCTGCACTCCCATAGCCCAGCTCCCATAGACATCTCCTTGGTCTTAGTCATTACTCAGCATGTGTGTTCCAGAGAAGGCATGGCAAGTTCAAACAGTATCAAGTACTACCCTGACTATACTTATCTCGCCTACTGAGAATCACATCAACTCGGTTATCCAGAGCCCACGTCTACTGCTGCTGCACTTGATGTCCCTTCTCCACTCACAGCCCTCAGTACTCAAGTCCCACAGCCTATGGCCCTGTACCCCATGCCCAGTGAGTCCCACAAATGTCCACTCAGGCCCGTAAGCAAATCAACCAAACTGGATGCAACACACCAGGCCACACAAACGGTCACAAAAAATCCTGGTGAGTGATTAAGAAGCAAAATGCACCAGCCACATCTCACCTTTTTTGAATTACTCTTCTACCTCCAATAAATAAAATAAAATAAAATAAAATAAAATAAATATATAAAATAAAATGGTGATCTACAACTCCTCCCTGCTCCATACTCTTTACTACTTTTTTTAAGTAGTCTTCATCTTGAACTACTCCTCAGAGTTTCAGTCATTCACTGGACTCTGAAATATCTAATAGGAAAAACAAAAGATTTTATGTTCCTCATGGACATTACTTTTCCCACTATGAATTTCTCCATGTCAGTTGATGGTGCTTTTATACCTTCAGGTGCTAAATCAAACCTTTACATAATCTCTGATTCTTACCCCTCTTCCCCATCCTCAAAATTAGAAAATCCAGATGGCCACACCTAAATCACTGATCCCTAAGGCAACTGCTTCTTCCACATCCACTACCACCACTGTGCTCCCGTCAACACCACACTCACCAAAATCATCACAGCAGCTTCCATTGTAGTCTTCCTACCCCGTCCTCACACCCATGCTGTGCATCATGCTGCAGTCACAGGAGCCTGAGACCTGGGACACATCCCCTGCTCTACTGCTCCAATGACCCTACCACCAGCAGGACAGAAGCCCAAGTTGTCACAAAGCTCCTCGGACTTGATTCCTATCCCACTATACAGGTTCCTATTTTTAAACAGTGGACACCTGATTGTCCCTCAATCAGTTTAGTGTCCACTTCAAGCCTTGGCACATTCTGGAACCTATGCATGGAAGGCTCTATCACCCACAATCCCACTGGATGACACAATCAGGTTCCACTCATATGACCCTTGTCCTAGACTTAGGATTCTGGGCTTGGTGTCCCTTCCAGGTCCCCAGATCCAAGATCCCCCAAGAAGAGCGGCTGGACAGCCCGGGCCCCACAGCCTGAGGCCCCCACGGAGGGAGGCCCTGACCTCAGCCCCCAGCCCGGCCCCTGAGCGGCTCTGGCCGCAGGGCCTGTGGGAGCTGAAGGCGCTGAGGGCCCGGCTCCGCCGCCAGGACCCGGGGCCCAGGCTGCTCGGGGCCCGGCCCAGCCCCGAGGCCGGGGCCGCCCCCTCGGGCTCCGTCCCTCCGTGCGCACAGCCAGCCCGGCCCTGAGGACAGGCCTCCTCCCGGAAGCCCTCCGGCCCCTCAGACACACAGGCCGGCCCCTCCCTCCGCCCGCGGCCCCCGGGCCCCGCCCGCCCCCTGCGGCCCCCACGGGCACTCACTGCTCCGGGCGGCGGCCTGGGCTGCGGCTGAGCGGCGCCGCCCCGAGGCGGGAGGGCCGCTGGGGCCGCGGAGGGCGCTCTGTCCGCGGGGGAGGCGGGGCACGGGGACCCAGTCCCGCCGGGTGGGGGCGCCCCGCCTCAGACACCCTGCCCAGCGGGACGCCGCCCCCACGGCCCCTCCTTCTGGCGATCTGCGCGGTGAAGCCCCTGAGCCGGTGAACACATTGAGGAAGTCAAAATGTCCGCCAGGAAGAAGACAGCGGAAGCCCCGCCCTAACCGAATGCACTGGCTCCAAAGGCCCCGCGTAGGCGCATTGCTTTCTGGGAAATGTAGTTCTCTCAGCCGCCCAGGAGAGGGCTGGCTTTCCAGCCCAGGAACCTGAGGAACAAGGTGTGTGGGGCTGCCACCGGGGGGCTGGGGAGGGAGGAGATGGGCACAGAGGCCTGGTGACCTGGGCCAGACAGACGGACCTCCCAGTGGACAGGGGGGAGGACTGGGAAAGATCCTCCAAAGAACATATACACGGGGGGAATCGGAGACATTTGTAACATCATCAATAAAAAAATACATATTAAAAATATGTATTTTGCCGAAACCAGTTTGGCCCAGTGGATTGAGCATCAGCTTGTGGACTGAAGGGTCCCAGGTTTGATTCTGGTCAAGAGCATGTACGTTGGTTGCGGGCACATCCCCAGTAGTGGGGTTTGCAGGAGGCAGCTGATCTTTGTTAATCTTTCATTGATTTTTTTTCCTCTTTGATGTTTCTAGTTCTCTATCCCTCTCCCTTCTTCTCCGTAAAAAAAAAATCAATAAAATGTATTTTTTTTAAAAAAGGAATGTGTGTTTTTTTATTTTTATTTTTTTAAAGCTAACCATTGTATGTGCTGGCAAGATAGCAAAAATCTGGAATTTTTATTTACTGAGAATTAGTAGGAAGACAAAGAGAATGATCCTTCTGGGTCACAGTTCGGTATAAACATTCACATACATGGCAACAGTTTGAGAAGTAAAACATATATCTATATAGAGAACAGAAAGCAATATTACCAACACATCTAT